TGGTGCCAGCAGCCGCGGTAATTCCAGCTCCAATAGCGTATATTAAAGTTGTTGCGGTTAAAAAGCTCGTAGTCGAATTTGTGTCTCGCGCCGCTGGTTCATCGTCCGCGGTGTTAACTGGCGAGTCGCGAGACGTCCTGCCGGTGGGCTTAGCTCGCAAGGGCGGCCCAACTCAATCCTGCCGCGGTGCTCTTTATTGAGTGTCGAGGTGGGCCGGCACGTTTACTTTGAACAAATTAGAGTGCTTAAAGCAGGCTAAAACTTCGCCTGAATACTGTGTGCATGGAATAATGGAATAGGACCTCGGTTCTATTTTGTTGGTTTTCGGAACTCCGAGGTAATGATTAATAGGAACGGATGGGGGCATTCGTATTGCGACGTTAGAGGTGAAATTCTTGGATCGTCGCAAGACGGACAGAAGCGAAAGCATTTGCCAAAAACGCTTTCATTGATCAAGAACGAAAGTTAGAGGTTCGAAGGCGATCAGATACCGCCCTAGTTCTAACTATAAACGATGCCAGCTAGCGATCCGTCGACGTTCCTCCGATGACTCGACGGGCAGCTTCCGGGAAACCAAAGCTTTTGGGTTCCGGGGGAAGTATGGTTGCAAAGCTGAAACTTAAAGGAATTGACGGAAGGGCACCACCAGGAGTGGAGCCTGCGGCTTAATTTGACTCAACACGGGAAACCTCACCAGGCCCGGACACCGGAAGGATTGACAGATTGAGAGCTCTTTCTTGATTCGGTGGGTGGTGGTGCATGGCCGTTCTTAGTTGGTGGAGCGATTTGTCTGGTTAATTCCGATAACGAACGAGACTCTAGCCTGCTAACTAGGCGTATTCGACATCCTAAAGGCCCGCCGTTTTGGGGTTCGCTCCTTGACGTGCGCGGTTTTTACTGTCGGCGTACAAACAATTCTTCTTAGAGGGACAGGCGGCTTCTAGCCGCACGAGATTGAGCAATAACAGGTCTGTGATGCCCTTAGATGTTCTGGGCCGCACGCGCGCTACACTGAAGGAATCAGCGTGTCCTCCCTGGCCGAGTGGCCCGGGTAACCCGCTGAACCTCCTTCGTGCTAGGGATTGGGGCTTGCAATTGTTCCCCATGAACGAGGAATTCCCAGTAAGCGCGAGTCATAAGCTCGCGTTGATTACGTCCCTGCCCTTTGTACACACCGCCCGTCGCTACTACCGATTGAATGATTTAGTGAGGTCTTCGGACCGATGCGCGATGGCGTTTCGGCGTCGTCGATGTGTCTGGGAAGATGACCAAACTTGATCATTTAGAGGAAGTAAAAGTCGTAACAAGGTTTCCGTAGGTGAACCTGCGGAAGGATCATTACAGTGTGTCTAAAAACACGTCTGTTTTTTTTTTTTCTCAAGTTTTTTTTTTTAATTTAAAAAAAAAAATCCTTTCTCGAACTAAGCGGTCTTCGTCGAACCGAGTAAATTCGGTTCGGACGGTTCAGTTTTCGTGTGCGAGAACCGCGCAACCGAGACAGTGCTATTTCGCCTGAGATAACTTATACGCGGAAAGAGACTGAATTATCGGTACGCCTATATTCTCGTCGAGTGAGTAGTCGTCGCCGCCGCCGCCGCATCTAGCGGTCGTGCGCGCTCGGTCTCGAGATAATAGTAGTAGTCCGTTTAATTTCTCTCTCGTTCTTCGCGTTCACTCTCGCGTTAATAAAAATAGCCGCTCGGTCGCGGAGCACGAAAAAAAACGCGCAAGAATTTTTTCGAAAAGTTCGACGAAGACAAACGCGTATCGGAATAGAGAGCGGCGTCGTTAGGACGACGCGCGCGCGAGACGTTTCAAATAAAAAACGACGAGCGTGCGCGAAAACCGGAACGATCGCCAGTCTGTTGCGAACGCGAAAAGCAGTTTTCTGTGGGTTTTCGGACGGGTCGGCCTGTCTTTTACTTCGTCGATCGAAACTACGAAGTAAAAGAACGTGGTAAACGATCTTTGCGGGTACCTACGACGTCCTCGTTCGCGGGGATTAGTCTAAGAGCTAGCGCTTCGACGCGCTACTCGATGGTATTTAAATGATTTTCGCCCGCCGTATCGGACAAAGACGATTGACGCGCATCGACGCCGATAAAATCGTCCCCGAGAAACTGTTTATTTTTCTGAAAATAAAGGCGCTCATCCCGGCCTCTATGTAACGAACGCAACACCTCACGTTTGAAATAATATGTGGGTGTCTAGTTTGCGTCCGTTCACGAGGCTGACGTCGGAAAGTAGCGTTTTTAAACCAATGCCACCTGATTAAACTAACGTACGAGTAGAACGTTGCCGTCGTCGTCGCGAGGCGCCAATCACTCCGATCGTCTATATTTATAATATATCGATCGGGGAAGGAATGGCGCGCGCGCGGGCGCACGTTCTCTGTCGTTGAACGAATTTAAAAAAGATTACCCTAAACGGTGGATCACTTGGCTCGTGGGTCGATGAAGAACGCAGCTAATTGCGCGTCAACTTGTGAACTGCAGGACAC